AGCGGCTTTCCTTGCCCTGGTGACTTCTCTCCGACAGGTTGAAGGTCAACCACCCACTGGAAGTGCCGGCTGGGCCTTGCGCATTGATGGCGTCGACGACTTCGAAACGATCCTGGCGGCCTGGCGGCCTGGCGGATCTGCTGCGGCCGCCCTTGACACTCGAGTTCCGGGCCCGGCCGTTTTCGCTGAGGGTTCGTTCAGGGTCTAGGAGTTTAGGGGGTTAGGGGTTTAGGGGGGGTTGGGGGTTTAGGGGTTTAGGCTTAAGGGTTTAGGAGTTTAGGATTTGGCGGTTTTGGTTTACGGGGGTCGGGGTTGAGGGGTTGGGCTTGAAGGCTTTACTGGACTTTCCCATGTTACCTTCCGTTCGGAGAGGACAAATCGGCTTCAAAGTCTGGACCCTGAAAGCTCCTTGATGTCGAATCCCCGAAAAGCATATGGCAGCAGCACTGTTACGAGTTACGAAACTACTTATTTGTAGACCTGTCTTTCCATTTATCTATCTGTCCTATCCTATCCATCCATCCATCTATCCATCTATCTTTTGTCTAGACATGCGTGCATACGTACACATACAGATACAAGTTCCAGTCCCATCCCCACATACCTATACATATTATGCATGTGCATACACCCTATGGATCCCAATACGCCTTTATGCAACACCCTAATCATTCTTCGTAGAAGCCTAAAATCAAGCTCTGCTGACTAAAGGCTTTGGTAAACCCTGTGCAAGCTTCATGAAGCATTTTGGGATCTCCGCTGTGGAAGGTTCATCCCTGAGATTGGCCGAACCGAAGTTGTCCCGGAACCGCAACCCCTCACTTGGTGGAGGACAGCCCAGGAGGTGTTTAGGGTCTAAAGGTTCAGGGGTTTTCCGGATTAGGGCTAAGGGGTTCAGGAGTTTAGGGCTCAACGGATTTAGGGTGGGAGACTTGACATCTAGGGTTCAGAGCTTAGGGTTTTCGAAAGGTGCCTGAATAGCTACCAGTACTATTCCTCAGGGCTCGTTAACAAGAAAACGCTAAAATCGACACCAAGATCAGATTCAAACTTGTGGAGGCCTTTCAGTGGTCATCTTGTTTTGGCGGATTCTGGCTTTTGTCATTGAGAACTTGTGGCTGTGATCTTGTTTGGTAACTTGGTGATCAGAATTACCAATCAGAGTATCGGTATGGTCCAAATAGGCAATACACCCCTAAGCCCCATTCTATTTTAGACCCCTGTATTCGACCCCGGGGTTAATTCATGGAGGTGTTGACTCCGGATTTGAGGGTCTGAGTGGCTACGTGAAGGAGTTTGGTTTCAGATTTCAAGCCCTTGCTGTAGGGGATGAATGTCTAAGGTGACCTTTTGGTTCTGGGTCTTGTCAGTAAACTGTGACAGTTCTCTTCATGCTACTAGTCCTCGGGCACAGGGACAGGTGGCCGAATTCCAACCTCTGCATGCGCTGGGTCTGGGCACCGAAAAGCCTTTCAAGGCAAAATTTGGAAACCCTTCGAGCCCTGAGACACTTGAAACCCTGAGTCTTAAACCTCGAGCTTTAACACGTTACCCGGGGACCTGCAAACCCCTTCTGGCATCGTTGGAAAGGTTTTCGAAGACGATCTGTGTGTTTGGACCTCTGTGGCTGTGCACTGCTCAAATATGGGCTCAGCATCGTGAACGAATTCAGAAAGAGGTTGCCAGACACCCCAAAGCCCCACCTTGAACCACCATGTCCTAGCCTACTCACGAATAAGGACCCTTCAACAAGCAGGTCTTATGGCCCCTCGATTTCTGTCATGACCTCAACACCGAAACCCGAAGAAGCATCAGAACCCTGAGGCAACAAAGATCACGCCCTCAACCCTCGACCCCTCCTCCCCTAAATCCCATGCCCGGACCTCAGTCGGAAGCATAGGCTGAAATTCTTGGCTTCAGGGCGGGGTTGGGTTAGGGTTTAGGGTTTTTGCCGGCATACAATCCAAGCCCGTGCTCAAAAAGGGTTTAGGGTTTAGGGTTTGGATACTGGTTTTTGGCACGCTGAGACAATTTGTGCGGTACTGCTTGGAACATGCGAACAACACATGCATTCTGGGAGCGCA